CCATTTCATTTAGCCGGGCTACCCTCTGCTTTAGGGCTCTGAACAGTTGAGAGATGCTCAAGCTACTAAGTTCAATCTTTCAGAACAAAAGCGATCCGAAAATTGGTATTTCAGGATCGGCCGCACGCTCAGGCTCTCAAAGAGCGTTACAGCAGAGAAAACTCACGAGAGCCAGCAGAGAAACGGTCGCTTTGCCTCGATAGGTAAATAGATAACTGTTCAGCCAGTGATGTGACCAGTATCTGCTTAAGTGTAAAAGATACGTTTGCTTCGAAATTCATGGAGGACTGAGTTTTAGACTTGGTCGGTATTATCAAGTATTTTCGCTATTTCTGCATACGAAACCCTGATGTTTACCATGTAAACTTCTGGCCTGTTTAAAGTAAGTATATGTTGCAGGAAAAAACATTTGCTCACTGCTGGTTTGTTGATAAAAACCAAAGTGGATGGATATTTGTAAGGTCCTTAGTTCGCTACGCTGCACTACCTCTAAGTCTACTAAATGTAACCTGATTTATTTAAAACGGTGAACAACTACAGCACACCCGTAACCATATCTGTTGTCATGACTCTCTCGTACGCATTACCGTAATTCGTATGACGTCCTTGATTGTCCTGTACATACATAGAGTGTCGTCACCATAACATTCCCGCTAGCCGCTAATGATGTGTATGTATGGGCTCTGGCTTAATCTGACACGTGGAGGAGGATGCTTTTGACCTTTTAGGACTGAAAGTTTCGATACCTCATTTCAGCTTTAATGGGAGAGATAGATCCGAAGCGTTCAGCTCCAGTGGTGGCAAGATAATCAAGGCTGCTATGGATCAGGTAACAGAGATAATGTATCAATACCACCGTAGCAGGAAGAGTTTCGTCATAGGTGAGACTTTTTTTGCACTTTGTGTATCAGATGTATGTTAAGTCGTCTCTCGTATGTAGAGTCAATCGTCTCATGTGTAAATTCAACGATCTGACATTCAGGCGAAATAAATTACCTTTATCTACTTAGTGGTGACGAGTAAACAAGTATAAAGGTTTTGGTGGCAGCACCACTTCACTCATCGTTTGAACTATTTGACCATCGACAGCTTTAACCCGAAAAAGGATCAAGGCTGGCTAGTTTATAACTTTAAAGTTAAAGTAGTCTTATCGCAAATAAGGTTTATGTTTCAGCATTAAATTAGCAAAATGTGAGTCCGATCTTAGCGATACATAAGGTGTCGTGAGCCTCTACTCATTGTATTCTATTCATCGATTTGATCGAGTGTCATTTAGAAATGTTTAAGAGCTGAGGAAATTTGCTCATATCTTTTTTCACTGTATCTCGTCACGGAGTTCCAACATCTTCACAAGTACGAAAAGTCGATACTTATGAATTGTTATAGGTACACAAAGAATAAGATGTATGCAGACAATAGTATAGTACTCATTTACCTCTGACGCTGAATTGCATTTGAAAACAGTGTAATCGTTTGGTGCCGATGTTACGATTTTCATTACAAAAAAGTATCAAATGGACATATAAACCAACTTGACAAATCTCATTCAATACAGTCAGCTTGACTCAACGTTGCCACGTGCTTCATGTCGATGACCACTCGAGTCATGTTCTCCTGATTAAAATACAGTCGAGTCTCGATATGCTTGTCTTTTGTACTCGCGGTCCATTCATCTGTGAAACAAGCGCGGTCCAGCTTCATATAGTGCATGGATGGATTCAATTTCTGCAGCAAGCGGCTTCATCGATTCGAATTGCTTCTTCTCCTGGGTTTCAACGCCGTCCCCGGGGAACGCTGTGGTAGGGTACGCATGATTGGTGGGTGCGCACGCTGTTCTGCGTTTGTGTTCACAGTCGCTTTGGTGCCGCCTCACACTACGCGCAAGGTCTTGTCGCGTGACTGAACTGTCATCCCATCATCGGTCATCGGTGTACATGAAGAAGACAACCGACTTGGGTTCTTGCGTACAGTTTTCACAGATCCAGAGCCACTCTCCAGGTCCGTACGTGTGCTTAAATCCCGTTCTCGCAGACCCTTTTGCTCGAAGTGGGATGGACAGTTGGGTACCGCAGTTGGCAGTAGATGCGGGATGCCCTGTGACGAGTGCGTAAGCGTGTGAGTGTGAACCCATGTTACACATCACATTGTTTTCAGCTTGAACGGTGTCGTGCTTGGTAAAATAGATGGTGGGACGTTCAATCTTCGGCGATGCTTGTAGAGCGGATAGCTTGTGTCTTGGGTGAAGTCAAGGTTCTTCCAAATTCGACGTGAACGGTCGGCACCAACATAAGAATAAAATGTACAGCTGAAGCTTGAAAGCAGAATGGTCAACACTACAGTCTGGTTAAAGTTGAGGTGTCTTGTTACTCGATTTTAGAATAAGCATTGAAAATTTCCATGAAAGCTCACGCTAATATTAATCAAATTTGCTTTCAATTGTTGATTGTAAGGGTTTCATTGAATCACATGAATACAAAATGTGACAGCAAAAAGTTGCAATCTCGTCTTATCTGATCCTTATTAATTTATATTTTGATTCCAAAACAATGGACGTTGGCTTTCAAATGATGGTAAATGCTTTTCGATTTGTCGTCAAATCACAAATTTCCTGAACTCTTACAATTTTTAATCGACCATGTACAGAATGCAATGAGTGAACCTTACCTAGCTCACGACGCCTTATGTATCCTTAAGATTGAAATATCAATTCTGATCCCATTATAAATGACCTCCCTTGAACGTACAAGATACTGAAGAAGCAGTGTGTTTTTTCTTGGCTATACTTGTATATTCTTACCTTTCGAAGCGGCTATATGGCAGGAGTAAGTATTCGATATTTATCTCTTAAACGACACGTTGCCAGTATCCAGATAGCCAAATGCTGAGGCTTCTGTTGCTTGATTAAGCATGTGGCACAATCTGTCGAAATAGTAGGTCATGTTAAATTCTCTCAATCAAATCCAAAAAGCATAGCTTTTACCATCGATCACTTAATTATCTCGTTTTCGCTTAAGCACTTTGTCGGTGCTTGCCACCGGTGTGGTCCCATGCTCATATATCGAAGGATGAGCATTAAGCTTCGACCTCGTAATATCTTTGATGTTCGGCTTAGTACACTAGTTCATCCAATGAACGTTCAGAAGTCAACAAATTGTACAGCTTGGTGTCGGGGTAATCATGATTTATCCTGTACCGGATGACGTAATTGAGTAACAAAATGAGCTCAATATCGTCCGAGGCAGCTTGTTGATGATCTTTCACTTCTTTCAATGCCTGTTCCGGAGGTACTGCTTTGCTCAGACAGCCTTCTAAATACCGGACCCGTCGTGTGTGTACTAAATGAGCGAGCGCAGCCTCACCTTCCTGCAAAATTTTCGTGAAAGTTTCTGGTTGATAATGCATTGACTTGACTTCATCACTAAGACTGTCGAGGCTTGAAAATATAGAGGAGGGAACGTTGTCTGGTTTTGTATACATCACATCAAAACGTTTGATTAAAACGGAGTACTCAAGCCACAACCGAAATTGTGAACTGTCAAAATCAATGTTTGTCTCGTCGCCAACGAGAATCCGTAGAGCATTTCTCAAAGTGTTGTTGTTCTTTATCCAAGCTATAAAGACAAAATGTTTGTACACCGTGTTTGAAGTAATGAGTCGCTCTAAATTCTCTGCGACGAATTGGAATTCTGGCCTGACTCGATAATTTTCCAGCAGAACTGTCACTTGAAAAATAGGGAATTCTGATTTCCGCGAATTCATTTTTGTCATCAAATTTTGAAGCGCCTGGTTAACATCAAATATAACACTTCCGTGATAGGACTCAAAGTGATTTTTAACTTGTAAAAACCATTCTTCTATTATTTTGACGATTTCCACATCAGCCGTATTCTTGTCGCTATTTCTGCGCAAAAAGCTGTGTATCTCACTCATCTTATCACCCGAAAGCTGTGACTTTAACATGGGTTGAAATTTTTTAAGAATTTCAGTACCTCTTGCTTCGTTTTCTTTGTCATCAACACGGTCTTTGTTCTTCAAAAGTGCGACATTATGTCTTAGCGCTCCATCAGGGATCGTGTAAGCCTTGTACGGTGGTGTGCAAAGTGGATCACGATTATTTGTATCTAAGCCGTCACAATTCCTTTCTCCCAATCTGACTGCAAAGCAGAAGCTGACTCCACGTACGAAGATGGCGACAAAAACGTACACGCGCATGACAGCTTTCCACAGGGGGAGTAGCTTTGCTGAATTGTGTTTTGTACATGAAGGATGTAATATCGATTTGCTGGAAATTTCCCGAAGATGCCGGAATCTTCCTAGTGGGTTGTTGAGATCTTCTGCAACTAGTTTATGATGTTAAATTCGTGCACGGCCAACAGTTTCTTGAGCACAGACGTCATTTTTTTGACGCTCAAATCTCGACTATGTACGAGCTACGACCAACCATTCACTCAAAATGTGACTCGTAAGCAAAATGAACAGGATGCTACCGATAGCCAATAGAGGAACTGCGAAGCAGCGTAAGTATGTAAAATCAATTTAATCAGTAGTACCGTGCCATAGAGTCCAGTAGTGCGAAGTGATTCCTGCCAATATAGAGGACATAGATGCATAGTGCAATGCCTGCAATTAAGTTGACGCCGTTGATGCGGCACTCGGACCATTTTGTAAGGATTAATTTTCTTTTAAACGTTATAAATAGTATTAACTAGTGGGAATGTTATGATGACGCCACTCAATGCATGTACAGACAATCATGGACGTCACAAGGATAACAGTAATGCGTACGACGAGAGTCATGACTACAAATATAATTACGGGTGCGTGGTAGTTGTTCACCAATCTCAAGAGATCAGGTTACATCAATTAGGCTTAGAGGTAGTACAGCGTAGCAAACTAATGACTTTTCAAAAATTCACTTCTGCTTTTTCCTGCAACAGAAGTCTACATGGTAACGGCTAATTTGTTTAAGATTGTGGTAAAAACGTCAAATTGTGTATCAAAAATACTCGATATTACCGATCAGTTTCTTACACTTTACCAGGTACTGGTTATATTACTTATGGACCCATCAAAGATATTACCTATCGAGCGAAGATGGTGAAGGGCGACTCTTCTGTCAGCTAGCTCTCGTAACTTCCCTATTATAGCCGCTCTCATATATCTAATCGAGCGGCCGATCCTGAAGAGACCAAATTTCAGATCGCTTTCTGATCCAAGCGATTGCACTTACTGATGAGGGCAGAATCGCGATATGATTCCAGCCAGCCCACATAGATCACCTTGTGCGTTCATAGTATCGATGGAATGTTGAGAGTGTCACCATATCCTTTGTTCACTATACCCGTGATGGATGCAGTGGAAAGTAGTCGTAATTAAGTTATATAGACTGCAGATACCGTACGTATGTAGGTAGTTCAACAACGTTTCATAA